AGGGAGGGATCACGAGAAAGTCACGTCTTACAACTGCAGATAGCAGGAAAAGTAAAACTGCTTTTGATAATCTAGATGTGCGCCACATCCTAGCAAAATAAACAAAGTTGAATTACAGTGAACTCATCATTATCATCTTCGTTAACCTTATCCTAATTATTTGGGGTCACCATTATGAACCTCATTTTTCATTTATTGTTATTGAGTATTGTTTAAAGACTTAAACTTATATTCTTCACAAACTATATTGAACAACTTCTATCCATGTAATATTAAGTCTTCCTTTTTTTTTTCTCCTTCATAATTAGTAGATACTAAAACTAACTACTCATTAACAAGCACATTTGCTATCCTTCATTGTGCATGTCCAAAACAAATCTATTTTCAATCAAATTTATCTTCCATAGAAGTCACTTGAACATTTCCATATAATTCTTCTTTAATTTATCATTACTACTTTAAGAAACCATGATGTCATGGCTTCTTAACCTCTGCTCAATGACTTGAAAACTCTCTCCACCAGAGCTAACACAATACTACAACAACAACATCAAGCCTTTATCCCACTACGTGGGGTCGGCTACATGAATCCTTTTTCTCCATTGTGTCCTATTAAAAGTCAATTTCTCGTTTAAATCTAATAAAGAAAGGTCATTCCTAATATTTTCTAACCAAGCCTTTTTAGGTCTACCCCTACCTTTCTTAACATAAGTCAAATCTAATACCTCTACTCTCCTAACCGGGTCATCACAAGGCCGCCGTTTTATGTGACCAAACCATCTAAGACGACTTTCTCTAATCTTATCTTCTACTGGAGCTACTCCAACCTTTTCACGTATATGCTCATTTCGTATCCTATCTCTAAGGGTAAAGCCACTCATCCACCTGAGCATCCTCATCTCTGCCACACTTAACTTAGTATTATGCTTCTCTTTTAAAGGCCAATAATACAATTATCTCCTATGGCAGTGGATTTTTCTCTTTCTTGTTAGTTCGTACGACAAATTACATCACATTGATGCTTCTCCATCTCCTCTAGATTGTTAAGATGCCATTGAGTTTAAAAAGTGGAAAGAGTTCAATTATTTTATTATTACATAACTGCTCAATGGTCATAAACCATCTATTGCCTTTGTTGCATGTTTCAAGACTTTCAAAGTTTTGTAGAACTTTCTTCGTTCCCCCTATCATTAGGAAAAATATCTTGTGTCCATTTTTCATATTCGGATAAATGTATTTCCAACAAAATGTCATGCAAATTCAAAAGTACTACAAACCATTGAGAGGAAAATGCAAAATGTTACTTCAATACCGCTCTCTTCACTATAGATATGATTGTTTGGCATAAGCAAAACCAAAAATTTCTTGTTTCCAAATTTAGCTCTAGATTGCATGTCTGCATCTTTCCCTGTAAGATTCGTAATCTCAATTAATAGCAAACTTCATGATTCTTAACATTACATTCACTCCCTCTCAAATTTTTCATGCCATTGAGCACTCAACACCACAACCCTTCACTTGTGGCTAGTCAACCTTAGAGCCTAGCTTGAGAGATTGTCATGGGGATGTGGTGGCTAGATTGGTGACGATTGCAACTTTAGCTATAATATATTATCTCCATGGTCTTATTGTAATCAAACTAATCATCGTCGTAAATGTCGCAGAAAAAAGTTTGGTTGTTCCCAACAGCCTAACATGCTTTGACAACCAATCTAACCCTGCCTACTCATTTTGATTATTCCATTTTGTTTATTACTTATTTCAAATTTGTCACTATCTCTCAGAAAAAACTATGAACAACTGTTTCAGCAATCTCAAACATTTCTTTTAGCCTCTCATGATATCTCATTCGCTAAATCTATTGCAGTAATTCAGGGTTTTAGATTTAGGTGTCTCTTCCCATATAATGAGAAAATCACCAACTATTTTTCTCACTTACATGTCTTCCCAATATATCATAGTTCCTGATAAATTCCCCTCTTTAATGTCTAGAAAGGGTACCATCCATCCTTCCAAATCTATCTTTTTTATATATTTAATACGTTCCATAATTTATTATAAAATTTGGGTGATCTAGTCATTAATAAGAGTACACATTTAAATATCTTGGGTCTACTGTTCAAAGTGATGGTGAAATAGATGTGGATATTATTAGTAGAATTCAAGTTGGATGGTTGAGGTTGAGGACTGCGTCGGGTTTATTGTGTGATAGAAAAGTCCCCCTCAAACTTAAGAGAAAATTCTATAAGATGGTGGTTAGACCTGCAATGCTTTATGGTGCAGAATGTTGGCTATTAAAAGAGAAGAATAATATTAAGTTAAGTGTTGCAAAGATGAGGATGCTCATGTGGATGAGTGGCTTTACTTTTAGAGACATGATTCAAAATGAGCATATGCGTGAAAAGATTGGAGTAGCTCCGGTGGAAGATAGGATTAGAGAAAGTCGCTTTAGATGGTTTTGTCACATAAAATGACAGTCTTTCGATGACCCGGTTAGGAAAGTATATGTATTAGATTTGACTTATGTTAAGAAAGGTAGAGGTAGACCTAAAAAGACTTGGTTATAAAATATTAGAAATAACTTTTCTTTATTAGATTTAAATGAGAATTTAGCTTTTAACATGCACAATGGAGAAAAAGGATTCATGTAGGCGACCTCACATAGTGGGAAAGGCTTGATTTTGTTGTTTTTGTATAATTTCTTATAAATTTATAATATATTCATTATCTTACTAAAAATCATAATTGTCCAATAACATTTTATCCCTCTCATTGTGTATTTATCAGGATCACATTTTAAGGAAGGTGATTTGTGGAGATGTTGAAGTAGACGGAGGCTATTACTTGATGATTAAAGTCCTTTTAGCCCTCTCTTTCACTATTACTCCATATCCAAGAAATTATTGGTTGGATCATTCTTCTCCTAATAGACTTTGAAATTTTGTTGTCATTTCCTCAACTCTCCAAGTGGATTGTATTATCTTAGATATGCGTAAACGCCATCATGAGTCTTTTCATTTTCAAGCAATAGTCATCATAATTTTTCTTTTGAGTTAGTTTACTACAACATTTGGGTTCCTAGTTCTATATTTAATCACTTTGGGATATTTTTGTTTGAAGTAAACGGGGTGTAAAGTATTCCAGATGTAGAGATTTTGAAAATATTGGTATTTGATCTAAAGTAAAAAAAAATGCAGAGTTAAATTTTGAAGTATTTGTAATTCACCATCTAATTCAATTTTGTTGTATTTGAAAATCGTCAGATTTAGCTGATTTTCAAATACACAGTAAATTCTCTGTCATTATTTCCACCGATTCCCACCATTTCGTGAAACAGTCCATAACAAGTACTTCTGTTACTTTGTTACTAAGGATCAACAACCATCATTCACAAGGGATTGCAATCAGTTTCAAACTTAAGTTACCAATTTAGTTCAATTAATTCATGCCAGAAAATTCATAGTATTCTAGCTTGAAAAGGAAGTCATATTTTCAAACAATTATATATATTAATAGTTAATCAACATTTTTTGTTGCTTAGTTCCATGTGGCTCTGTTTGCTTGTAAGGAACTAGTGGAAATGTAAATAAAAAATTGTGAAAAATCGCAAATCAGTAGTAGAAAATTTCATAATTAAGTTAGGCATGATTTAACTTTCATTCAATATTTCCATCTTCATTCATCCCAACATAGCCTGTCAACCAAAAAACAGAACTTCCTTATCGTTTCAATGCTGACACAAATAGATTGCACAAGTTTAACAAAATGGATCTATTTCAGGTGTTTTAAGTTGTGAGCTAACTATTCAACTACTTAGTGAAACATAAAACATTTCAAACTAGTTTTTTTCTCCCAGTGAAATCAACTCAACAGCTGTATGCAAATATTGGAACATGCAGGCTTGAGGAAGTATAATTCACCAGCAAGGATAACCATAACAATTGGTTTGAACATACATATAAAGCTAACAGAGGCTTCCTAGTTGGAAAAATGAACTTTTGAAATGCACTGAGCACTGGAGCATGTTTTACAAAAGCACAAGGCATTTACCAAAGACTATGATGATATTGATGAAGTAAATTTAACTAACATGCAAATATGCAACAGATGCTTAAAAATGGAATTCAAAATTCCATATTGTGGTTAAATGAATTCACTGTCAGATGCTAGGAGCTTTCTATTAAGGTTTCAAATGATGAACCCATAGGCAGTCATTGATTCCCTAGCAATAAGCTCAAAACAGCCACACAAAGTCCACCATGCATTGCATTGATTGTAATCAGAGAATATTCTAGTGCACATAGCAACATTGCTAAGCATGTCTGTTAGGCCGGTTCAACCTGAACCGGCCCAGCCAGCTTAGGTCTATAGGAGGCGGACAAGTGCCGCCTCCCTTTCTTCTTGCCACCCACAATAGTGGGCCCCACTAATCCAATTGAATTCAAAACTGAAAAGGAGGGGGCGGCTAGGGCTTGGGAGGGAAATTAGATTAGGAAAGTTTATGTATTAAAGAGCATGAGATGTTTTAGGGTGAGGTTATGCTTGATTTGATTTCGGTTAGGGTTCCTTGGTGATTTGGGCTCTAAACTATCTCGTCTAGAGATTTGGGAGAGACGATCCTCCTCTCTAATTGAGGATCACTTGTATCTTGTTTCCGTGCTTGTTTGGCCTTGATTTTCGTATTACAATCTATCGTTTGTGCTGATTTCTCCCAGATTTTGTGCTATTCTCACTGTTTTTCACCAATTGGTGATAGGTTTGCTTGAGAACTCAAGTATTACCCTAAGGGTTACTTGTGAACTCAAGTATTTCCTATCAATGTCATAAATTAAAATACTAAGAAATGGTTGTGACTCTTCCAATCACTTTTTTATTACTTAACATATCCACCCAACGATTTTAAAACTAGAATGAATATTAGTTGACAAAGTTCATTAATGTTGCAGCAAAAGCAGCTCTTGTCCCATTAAATGTGTAGAGATTCAGCTAAACAACAGGAATACCAAATATTCAAGGCCTTAATGGAAATTCCACATATTTGCAAACTCTTTAAGTTTTTATATGTCTTCTAAAAATATATATCACAAGGAAAGGATCAACAACCCATAACTTCTACTTGACTCTGCAGTTTGAAATTACAATAATTATTTTGAAAGTAAAATACAGGAGATACCGCATTGCTCTATAATCATACCTAACTAGCTCTATGTATAAATTTTGCCAAACAAGCAAAAATTAATGCAAAGTTAATGAAATAAAGGGGCTAAAAGATAATCAGATATAAATGGAAAAACCTCTTCCTCATGCAAGAAACCCCAAAAGAAGACTTCCCAGATCAGTTGACACATTCATATCTGCTGCTGCGATTCGATCAACAGAGCATTAAGCATAACTTGAAGAGCTGCCTCATATACAACCCCTTCATAATGCATTCCATCAGTTGTGCACTGCAGCCCACAGCTCCGGCTCAATGACCCAATATCCAGCAATACAAATGATCCACCAGATGGCCTCAACACGCCACTTCCATCAACCTCCTGCTCATAAGCATCCCAAACCGTCTTACTCATCTTTTCCTTCTTCTCTTCAGTATTAAGCATTGAATTCAATAACGTCGGTAAGCCAAGCCAAAACATATGCGGTGGCTGCATAGCTAGCTCTGATGAAAAGGGAGAAACCATTGATGCCGCGGACCTCCGCACAGAAGCCATATTCTCACCATAATCCGATGCATTGTTAACATGAAGCATGTGCCAGAGGCCTGACCCAGCAACAAGAACTTCAGGCAACCTGGGGCCACCACGGAGCTTCTGTAGCACGGAGGTGATATTGGACTCGAACGGAGACCACACAAAATCCAGCTTCACGCCGTGCTCAGAGATCATAATCTGATAATCACTGTGCCGGCGAAAGAGATCCCCTTCCACAGCCTCCATCGCGGAGCGGTCCAACAATAGGCGGAGAAGGGAAAGCACGAAGAGGCGCGCTTGTGAGTCTCCAGCAACGAGGATCCATGATCCGTTAAGAAGTTCCCCGGCGTCAGATCGAGAGAGTTTCTGGAAACCACAGTCGCCGGATCGCGATCTAATTGGGAGCCAATCAAAGGAGGAAGGGGCGTCCGCTGGGAGGAAGGAAACATCGTGCATAGATGAGAGGCAGGACGACGGCCGAAAGGGCGGGGAGGAAGAAAAAGAGGGTGTAAGGGTAGATATGAGAAATTGAGAGGCAGCGGGGAAGTAGGGAGCAATGTGGACGCCGACGGCAAGAGTGATGAATAGGGCGCCGCTGAAAAAAAGCATCTTGTTGCGACTAAGATGCCACCCGGCCATCCCCATAGGGACAAAGAGAACGATGCAAGCGGCGAGCGCGCCAAGCTGCGCCGCCGCAAACATGGATCTCCGCTGGACTTCAGAGCGCCGGTGAGACCATCGATGCCGTTGAGGACGAAGAACAATATCAATTGAAGGGAGATTAGGTCGAACGTGCAGCGTGTGGGACGGAAGTGAAAGAAAAGGAAGAGACTAGGAGGAGAAGTGGGAATTGTGAAGGTAGAACTGGTGAGGGGGAGCCATCCCCGCGATGGCTACTGGAAAACAGAAAGCAGATTAATTTCTCCATATCTTATCATATTGTTAGTATTTCAGTATTTCTAATTATGCATTGTTCAAAAGCATACATTTTTAAATTAAAAATATGGTAAATAACCATTTAAGTCATATTTCATGAAAATTCTCATTTTAAGTTTCATCTTAATATGTTAAAAATATAATTTCTGAGTTTAAATTATAGTCAATTATATTATATTGATTTTAATTCTCTATATGATTAAAGGGTTATTAGACAAGTACAAGATTTAGTCAAGGTTCTATCCAACTAAAGCTTCTTTTAAAGTCTCTCTAATTCCCACCGAGCTTAGCTAGGTTGGGAACCCCCAACCCATGTTTGATTCTCTTCTCATGTGGTGCGACCCCTTAAGTACGGGTCCTACACCTGTGGGGCTGGTTGCTGGTAGGCTCATCGAGGGATTAGTAACGCCACCAAATGCCTCCTATGAGAGGTGCTAGTGCCTCTTTAATTTCTTCTCAGGATTTCTCTCTCTAGAAGTCTATATATCCATAACAACTTTCAAAAAGTTGTTATTTTTTTTAATGATAGCTTTACATTCTTGCAGCTACCCCAAATGAACCCAAACTAGTCACTATGTAGCTCAGTTTGACTCATCATTCTCTATTAAAAGTATTTGATCAAGTCTTTTATAGATAAATTCACTTGAGAGAATTATTGAGATAGACTCTTGCTCTCATTCCTCAGGCATATCTCTAGTAATGTCTTAATAATTTTTCACAAAAAAAATATTTGATCCAACATCCTTTTAGGCGGACTAAGCATGGATAATGTCCAAGATAAATAACTAAATTATATAACATCCTAAAGCTAAAAAAATAACTTTGTACATGTGCAACCTAATGATGATGTGATTTATGAATAGTTCCATAACATAGAGGATCATTTTATGAGAGTGCTTATTGGGATCTTTGAGCACTTATAACAAGCATGAATACTATCTATCTTAAGTGTTGATGTCACGTTAACTTAAGAGCTATAGCTATAGATCTTTTGGATGTTTAACTCTATCTCCCATATGGGAGAGTACAATAAAGACTCGTCTGTCTTATCAACCACCAATGCCTTAGGAATCACCTACAAATACAATAAAGACTCGTCAGTTGCAGTCTAAGCTAAAGATGTATTTGTTTGATTTTTACAAAAAGGAAGTCGGACCTAGACGATGCTTGCTTAGAGTTGTCTATTTTGTTCCTTACTCTTAGAAACACAAAAGCTTCAGTTTCTCTTTACTATCTCAAAAAGGCGTCATTGTGGTCATTCTCTCGCTTTCCTCTCAGAAACATCACCTCCTTCTCTAATTTCAAGTTATAACTTATTAGATAATTCATAAAAGCCCAAAATCCATTAATGAACTCATAAATTCTATTAAACATGAGGAAAAAGCTTAGTAAGTCTGATGTGGGGAATTAGTTGTTGGATCGTTGGAAGAAGATGGTGCTTGAAGGATTTCCAAGAACAAGATGACAAACCAAGCTCAAAGGCTTCAATTCATATAATATTCATCAATGAGTTTCTTTCCTCTTACACATTCCCTATATATAATATTAAAGTAAGGAAAAACTAGAGAATCCTAGAAGATTCTAGAAAACTTGTAACAAATTTATAACAATTAAATAAAATAACCTAAGGGACATTATAAGCTAAAAATGCTCTGCATCATTCTCCCATTGCGTCAAAATAGCTCGACTCCATTGAAGTGTGTCATTGGGAGGGAGGCAGGTGTAGAAATTGTAAGCAATCCTCCTAGATCGAAGATTTTGTGTCTTTTATTCATTTATGCAAGCTTATTTATATTAACTGTGCAGAAACAACAGTTTTCTCTGCTTCAATCAAAACAATTGTTTCATGAACATTTGGCTTGACAGTATCTTGTAATATCCTAGCAGCAACCTCATCACCATTAACTCCACCATCATAAAATGTGCTAAGGTTTAGTGCACGCTCAAGATAAGGCTTAGGACTGCAAACGAATCGAGCCGAGCCGAGTATGTGAGTGTTCATGTTTGAGTTCATTTATTATCAGTTTGTTCAAGTTTGGTTCATGTTGATTCGAGCTTTATTGTTTGTGCTCATGTTTGGTTTGTTTACATTAATGAGTGTTCATGTTTGGTTCATGTTCGGTTCGTTTAGTGCTTATCGAGCTTTAAACAAACAAGCTTTAACGAGCTATGTTCGTGAACATATTTAGCGATTTTTTAAAACTATCAAACAAGCATGTTTATGAACATATCTAATGAGTATTCTTAAGCTATCAAATGAGCAAGTTCATGAATATATATAACTCATGATTTCGAGTTACCAAATGAGCTCGTTCACGAACAAACGATCTATGATTCATCTTATATTTGTGCATGAATATTTAAAACAAATAATCTAGCAAATATGGACAAATATGAAATGTTTCTTTTTCATGAACAAATTTATTATATTGAAAGTGTAAAATAAAATGAAATTAAATTTATAATTAAAGCAGTTGTCTATTTAAAATGAAAATAAGATTAATCTATATGAATATATTTTCAAATGAAGCATACGAATCGAGCTTTAATCAAGCTTATTCACAAGTTCTGAATTGAACACGAATTGAGCTTAATGTAGAGCTTATTCACGAGCTTCTAATGATGTTGTTCGTGAACATAAATGAGGCATAATCGAGATTCTTAACGAGCATATTCACGGGCTCTAAATGATCTTGTTCATGAACATAAACGAGCCGAACGCCAGGCTGTTCAAGTTTGTTTATTTAGCTATCACATATTGTCAAAGTTGTTCAAGCTTGTTCATTTACTTTATCAAACGAACATAAACGAGCTCTTATCGAGCCGAGCCACGAGTAGCTCGTCGAAAGCTCGGTTCATTTGCAGCTCTAATAAGGCTTCCAGTGTTCAGTAAGCAAATCCCTTCTTATCATCATCACATCACCCTGATAGTACTCTAGCATATTTCTTAAGAAAGGCTTCTCATTAAAATAATCCCTCCTTACAAAGACAAATGGTAGCTTGTAGGTTAAAGCTTTACTCAAAGAAACATATCCAAATTTGCCAATCATGCAATCAGATGCTGGTATTAAATCAAGAGTATATGCATCTTCTGCAAGCTTTATAAAGTTTGGAGGAAGCACCTGTTTGTTGGATGCACCACAGACCGAACATAGACAAAGATCAGGTGACCATTCTTGCTTTAGTGTCCATCCGACTGGCTAGCCACCAAAATTAATAGTAAACAATTTCACATCCTCGCCAATGCCAAATTCCTTTCTCACCTCTAATTTAGATTTGTGTGATGTTCTGACTACTAAAGGTGCATCAATAACATCTTGAAAATCAAGCATTGGACAATATCCAGAAAGTTGAAATAAGAATTCATAATGAGAAAAATCTTCAGTTATAGATCGTATCCCTACATCTGCTGCAACATGAACATCATCTAAAATCACTAAGTTAGCCTTTATGGACTTAAGCCACTCAACTGTAGTTATCAAGATTAAAGTTGGATACACAACAACTGTCTCAAGATACTTCTCCAAGGAAGCTAAGTGATCAAAGCATTAGTTTGAATAACACCAATATCCAATAAAACCTTTCGAGCAGAGGTGCAGGACGTAAAGTCACGAGCGGGAAGTGAAGTCATCAAAGTCGTGTTATGACTACATTCACCATAAAACTTGTTCATGTATAGCTACTTGAGTTGATAATCTCACGAAATTCTCTATCCACAAGCATTTTCATATTCTTCGGCCCAAATCCTCGTGTCATCACGAGTTTGACATTAGCCACCTTCGTAATAATAGCGTTCGGACCTCTCTGCCTCTGCGAGTGTGCGGCTCAGCTTTTAATTTCTCTATCTCCATGTATTACGTTCACTTCATCTCCGCTGATCACAAATTTGGGATCGAACCCTTCAGTGACACTACATTGAACAGCTTGGGAGCATTGTGTTGGATGATCTTTGTTAATCAATTTCAGGTCAAATATTTTCATACTTGCGACAGATATGTCCCCAAAACCACTTAAGTGTCTTTTCCACAAATTTGCATATTATTTGTGTACATTTGGGCAAGGCTAAGACCATCACATTTCTGCATAAATTGAGCCTCATATGAGGCATTGACCACCATAGCCCATATATAGATGTAATCAACATCTTCAGTTCTAACACAACATTTATCATCACTGCCTTCAACCTCACGGTAAGTTTTTTTTGCAGGAGTCTGCCAAGATGGGGAAGCTAGTGTTAAAGCATGGTTGCTCAATGGAGAGGGCGAAGAGATCGTGGGTGGTTCTTGTGGCAAAAAACTAGGAAGGGTTGGGAAAGAGTTAGAAGTAGGAGGAAGAGTAGCAACCGGGACAGGCAGTGGAGAAAGTGTAAGAGGATCGGATGGGGCGGACAACAGAAGTTGGGTTGGATGGTGGACGACATCGGTCACAGGCACATAGAGGGGAGTGGGCGTGTTTGGTCCTGTCGCTTGGAGCATGGGAAGGTCCGCTGGTCGGTTGCGAGATGAAGCAGAGGTAGAATTGGAATCAGTAATTGATGTAAGATCAGGAGGAGAGAGCGAGTGCACGTAGATGTCCGATGATAGTTTGATTTTCATAGTGCATATTCTTTCTAAAGAACAATTAAAATAAGCAAATAAAGTATCAATCTGATCCAAGTGATGCTTCCACTTGAGCCACCCAAAGGGATTCATGGCGTCGATCACGATCAACAACCCTTCTTTTTTGGCGGATATCTTCATGAGGATAGGAGCGGCGGATCTCTCCATTGGAGTGGAAGTTGGAGCAGAGAATAGTCATCTTCTTCATCATCGACTGCCCATCTCCTTCGGCATCGATCATTGTCGATCGCCCATCTCCTTGGCGGCAATCTTCATCTACCGCCCATCTTATTCGGCGTTGATCTTCATCGACCCCCCATTTTCTTCAGCTTCGATCGTCGTCACATCCCACCTTCTACAGTCCATCATTCTTCGCAAGCTCCAGGCTCTGATACCAACTGATGCGAGGAATCAATGGTTGGATCGTTGGAAGAAGATGATGCTTGAAGGATTTCCAAGAATAAGAGGACAAACCAAGCTCAAAGGCTTCAATCCATATAATATTCATCAATGAGTTTCTTTCCTAGAAGATTCTAGAAAACTTGTAACAAACTTGTAACAATTAAATAAAATAACCTATGGGACATTATAAGCTAAAAATGCTCCGCATCAAAATCACTCCATCATTTTGTTACTAGTTTTCAATAGGAGATATTAAATGTTCAAGTTATAGAGTATTTTGTCACCGATTCACACTTTCCCAAAGCCATAAGAAGGTTCATTTCATTATATTCTCAACTTATAATGGCAAAAAAATATTTCCTAAGTTAGTTGAGTTAGCCAATAACCACACATCAACACAAAGGAATATAATCGCATGACCTTGACTTGAGATGCATAGCTCCAATTTTTATAAAGGACTCATAGCGACACCCTTGGGATCATAAGAGCAAGTCATGCAACACCGAAGTGGTGTTAATAAATATCTTCACTATCAAAAGATCTATAGTGATTTTTACTCTCACAAGCATGAAAGGGTCTTGCCGAACTGTTGTCACAACCAAACCCGACCAAGACATGTCCTATTGTGTTGACCTGTAACAGGCAAATCCTTAGATTTAATTTTAGAATTATTTCATTTTTTTTGTCAAAATTTATTGAAATAAACTACAAACTATAGAGCTACTAAAATATGAAAAAACTAAAAATAAAATCATCCACCAAGTTTCTTTCATTTCATCAAAACAAATATCTATAGTACAGTACATGACTATATGCAAGTGTTAGATAACTAAAAATTTAACTATCCATGACTGTACAAAAATTAAAATAATAAAATATATATGATCTCATATATGATCCTGAACTGCTAGTCCACAGTCTCCTTCCCCTTCTCATGCTATCCTGCTTCCTAAGAATAATATAACGGTCATTTTCTAATATATTAAATCATAAGTACTATTGCATCCTGGAATATTTGCGGTGGTAGAGAAATATAAAATTTAAAGTCTCAGCTTCATACGAAGATCTAGCACACAAGCAGATAAAAGGAGAGTGTGTAGCGTTCATAAGAGACACCAAAGTTTTTACGTGGAAACCTGTGAAAAGGGGAAAAATCATAGGGCCTAGCCCAATTTGAATGAATCCACTATTATTTGCAGTCAATTACAAATAAGGCCCTTCCTTGGGGGGAAGGCCTTAGGCTGATGTAGCAAATGTATATCATATTATATGGTGGGAATCGAAAGAATTAGTATTGAAATATTTATTTGTCTGCAAAACCATAGTCGGCAGGCGATGAAGGTCGGAAAGACCGTAGTATGGTGATGGTGGTCAGAAGAATCATTGTCGGCAGGAGATAGGGGTAAAAAAAAATCGTTATTTGGAGATGAAGGTCGGAAGGACTATAGTCGGCAACAAAGTTCGGAAGGACCGTAGTAGGTGACAGAAGTTGAAAGAACTATAGTCGGAATGAGTAATGATTAAAAAAGATTGTTGTATGATGATGGAGGTCGGAAGGACTGTAGTAGGCAATGGAGGTCGAAAGTACAATAGTTTAAAGGAGATAGGGGTCAAAAAGATCGTTGTTTAGCGATGGAGGTCGAAAGGACCTTAGTAAGAGACTGAGGTTGGCAGTACCGTAGTCGATAATAGACAGGGATCAGAAAGATCGTTGTCTGGCGATGGAGGTCAGAAGGACCGTGGTAGGCAACAGAGGTCTGAAGTACCGTAGTCGGCGATTGAGTTCAAAAGGACCATAGTAGGCGACGAGGTCGAAAGGATCATAGTCGATAAGAGATATGCTTAAAAATACTGTTGTCTGACGATGAAGGTCGGAAGGATCATAAATGCAATGGAGGTCGGAAGGAGCATAATTGGCAGGAGATAGGGGTCAAAAAATTTGTTGTCTAGTGATAGAGGTCGAAAGGATCGTAGTAGGAGACAGTGGTCGGAAGGATCGTAGTAGTCAGGATACAGGGGTTAGAAAGACTATTGTCTGACGATGGAAACTGGAAGGACTATAGTAAGTGACGAAGGTTAGAAGTACCATAGTCGGTAGGAGATAGGGGTCAGAAAGACTATGGTCTAGCGTTAGAGGTCGGAAGGATCGTAGTAGGAGATGAAAGTCGGAAGGACGGTAGTCGGCAAGAGATAGGGGTCAGAAAGATCATTGTCTAGCGATGGAGGTCAGAAGGACCGTAGTAGGCGACGGAGATCGGAAGGACCATAGTTGGCAGGAGATATGGGTCAGAAAGACCGTTGTCGTAAGGCGGTGGTCCGGCAAAATTCTTAGCGTTATTCGATGGTCTGGCGAAACTCCAACTTCTATTAGTGGTCTAACGGAAGTTCGGGCCTCAATCGGTTGTCCGGCGGTGGTTTGGAAAAACTACGACATTAGTCGGTGGTCCGGCGAAACTCCGGCTTCAGAGGGTGGTCTAGCGGAACTCCGGCATCAGGTCTCGGTCAGGTAGAACTCCGATGTAGGTGGTGGTCTGGCAAAACTCCGCTGCCAGGCGGTGGTCCCTCGGAAGCCCGGTGTCCTGGCAATGGTCGAGGAGGAGCAAGGAGGCAAGAGCGATCTTCGATCTCTCTCTTGCCTTCTTTCTTGGGGTCCCCTTTCAAGAGGACAGAGGTGTCTATTTATAGATTTCCTAGAGTGGCATAGCCCGTAAATAGGATGAAGATCAATGGTAAATGGGGAGTGGTTTGGATGGACGACCGATGTTGAATCCATTGATCATGGACCGTTCGCTAGACATTTGAAGCTCTTAATGATGTTTGAATCCTGTGATCTTTGGCTCGTTGGATTCGTCTCGTCGAGCCGCTCGATTCGATGATAAGCATGCCACGTTTGGAAACCATTTGGTAATACAATTTGTGGTTTGAACCGTCCAATGACGCTTCGGGTCCTTGATTTGAACTCATTTGGGCTTGAATTGACTCGAATTTGGTGTCATTGGGTACGCATTCTCGAGGCGTTCAGTTCGACTGTAAGTTTGCTGAAATCAGAATTTGGATGATCCCAAATGTAATTTTAAAAGTTTTCAACTTGATTTTTTCTCGAGATTCCTACCCGATCATTATAATTTTTTGATGATGGATCAAGTATAAATAATAGCAAACAGCTATGATCCGTGTTGCTATTAATTGGAACGTTTAAGAAGGGTCGAGCCTAAAACAGGTTTGGGGGGCATCACTCCGTAAGAACTGGGAAAGTTAAAGATAAGCTTAAATATTCAATTTTTTTTTCTCCTCTTGATGTAGCCCACGTTTCTCTGTTCTTTTGCTTTTCACAAGAAAACAAAATGCTTAGTTCAGATTTGGTTTTTAATGTCTGAAGCCTAGCTCATGATTATAATAATGCCTTTGATGTCCATCCATCTCTTTTAAATAAGCCGACAATATCTCATGGCCGGTAGATTTGGATCATTTTCTATATTCTTCTCTGATTTAAAATTTTATTAAGAGCTCCAACAATTCAACTCTTCAAACGGAGGCCTCTGCATTGCTATAAACATCCACCCCCCTCTCAAAATAAGAGAAACCCTGCTTGTTCAAAGCCTCAAAGAAGAGAAATTTGAGATTTAGCTCAACATGTCCAGGTCTAATGTAGTTCTCTTGGATCATTGGGTTAGCCCATATGCCATGCGGGTCAGGATTGCACTATGGGAGAAAGGAGTTGAGTTCGAGTCAAGGCAACAAGACTTGGGCAATAAGAGTGAGTTGCTACTTCGATCAAATCCTATCTACAAGAAGGCTCCTGTTCTTTTGCATGATGATAAACCGTTGTGTGAGTCTCTTATTATAGTTGAGTATATTGACGAGGTATGGCCGAGTCCTCCATTGTTACCTTCAAGCTCTTATGAACGTGCTACCGCCCGATTTTGGGCCGATTTCATAGATAAAAAGGTAAGCAAAGTTTTCAGTAGCATATTCTGAGATCATGAAAATAAGATCAAGTATTAAAGATTAATTTTTTTAGTGCTCTTGAAAAGTCCTCAGTATGAAGAAAGATGTTTGATTTAGTAAAATTTTGTGTTTATATTCCAAAATGTTCTGTTTTATTTTAAAAATTATAAAAGAAGATAATAATACTTTACTTCATAGATTATTCCATTCATAAGTTTTGGCAAAATAAATATGAAATAATCGTTCATATCGATTCACAAATATTTAAATTTCTATTATGTTTCATAATATTAATCAAACTAAAATCTGCTATATTAGAAACTAACACTCATATAATTAAATTAAAAAAAAAAACAAATGCAAGCTAAAATATTTACAGACTCGACTTCACTGATGCAGTTTGCAGAAGCTGCAATCAAGACATGGAGAAGCGCAAGGTCGGCCGAGGAGCTTGAAGCAGCGAGGAACGAATTCTTCGAGACACTGAAGCAGCTGGAAGAATTTCTGGGAGAAAAAGATTACTTTGGTGGAGAAACTTTTGGGCTCGTAGACTTGGCGCTGATTCCATTTTGGAGCTGGTTCTCTGCTTATGAGAAGTTTGGGGGATTCAAGATAGAAAGCCCAAAGCTCTCTGCTTGGATACAAAGGTGCATGGAGAGAGAAAGCGTCGCCAAAGCGCTGCCGGCGCAGGAGAAGGTGTTGGAGTTTGTCTGCATGTTGAGGAAAATTTTTGGATTCGATCAGTAAATCTGCTAGCTGAGAATTCACGAACTTGTTTGCTTCCTTAATTTGCTATTTGAATTTTGAAGTTAGTGACTTTTTTTTCAGACTTAGGCTTTGTTTGGGACTGCTTTTTTACTGCTTTCTAAAACGGAGTTTTAGTACAAATTTTTTTATTTTTGTACTAAAACTCCGTTTTAGAAAGCAATAAAAAAGCCGTCCCAAACGAAGCCTTAGTCTTCTTTTGGGACGGCTTTCTTGCTGCTTCTTAAAGTAACTTTTTAGTAAAAAAATTAATTTTTTACTAAAAAGCTACTTTAAGAAACATAAAAAAACCATCCCAAACTAAGCCTTAAGTGAGCCATTCCTATAATGTGTTTTTTTCATTGCTTGAACTTTTCACTTTGAGCCAATGTTTGTGTTTGCTTGAGTGTATTTTTGTGGCTAAGAAATAAATTCTATCTATGATGGATGAGATCAATTATGGCCTGTGGTCCTCTTCTGTGCTGCAATTCTTTCAAAAGAATATAAGAGATGATGATTTAGTTAAATATTAAGTGGTTTGTGTTAGAATTGTGAAGCCAAATTTCTTTAGAAGTTTTGTGTATAATGATTAATGACCAGGTCCCCACAAGTGTGGAGAAAGATGAGACAATTCTTTTAAATAGGCATTTGGTGGATTGAATAACATAGAGGAAGGTCATCGGGCTGCCCTTCTAAAAGAAAGAAAGGCTAAGAAATTGGAAATTTGTGGCTAGCTGGAGGCACTTAGGACAATTCTACTCTTGAATAGAGGGATATGACCTCAACAACTAGAGTTGATAGTTGATAGGAGACAGACAGTGAAATGATTGTCGGCAAGCACTCGACTTTTTTTTTTTTAAACAAATTCTTCGTTATCTCGAAGTATTAAACAAGTGAGGATTCAAATTTATAAGCTCAATATGAATAAATCAATTCAACTAAACAATAAAAGACAATCAAATCACTAAATAACAAAGCTTCAAATAAAATTTTCTCGCTATAAAAAGAAGATGATGAGAAAGAGATCCACATATGTTATGTGTAGAGCAATTAGGCTACTTAACAACAACAACAACGACATCAACTCTTTGTCCAGCTACATTGGGTTGGCTACATGAATGCTTTTTCTTCATTGTATTCTGTTAAAAGTCAAATTCTCGTTTAAATCTAATAAAGAAATATCATTTCTAATATTTTCTAACAAAGTCTTTTTAATTAGGTCTACCTCTACCTTTCTTAAAATTAGACTACTTAACATTTTATTTTAAATAATTAAATAAATGGGGATAAAAGCATTAATATATGAATCATCAAATAAAAATTTGAGCACAAAAGATAATTACATTTGTAAGAATAAAGCTCTATTGGACAAAACTTTTTTTATATTATAAGATCATGATGTATCCAAGGGCGGAACCAACCTCTTTTTTGAGGGTGAACACAATAGGATTATGAAATGCATAATCTTATATATGAAATAGAAAAAAGAAATTTATATATTATATATATATTATTTGGTTACTACATTTATTGAAATGAGCAAAATATTAAAATATTATTTTCTATGAAAAAAAAGGTTATGTTTGTAACAATTTTTTCAAAATTTGTTAAAAATAAAAAATCCTAAATTAAATAATAAATTCTAATTTCATAATATTTGCAATTATTAAAGATGTATTAATTGATCAATATTTAAATGTGTATTAAGATTTTTTTTTTTAAAGGAATTGTCACCCATATAAGCATATCATAATAAATATGGTTGCTTGATTGAATTTACATCATTATTTAATTTTGTAGAAATTAATTATAGATATTAGATCATTATTAGTTATTCATAGGAAACACTTTCTCTTTTCAATATTTTATTACTTATTTCATAATTATTCCCATTTAATCTTTGTTATAATATATGCATGACTCACACAACTATATTTTCAAATAAAAAAGGCTACCCTAATTTAAAGAAAATGACTTGTTTATATATATATATATTATATATATATATATATATATATATATATATATATATATATATTATAAAGTCATTTCCCTTTCATAGCTAACAAGTCAAATTGCATCCTTCCAGTTCTATTTTTCACAGCCATGCAATATGAGGAAGAAATATTAAGACCACATGAGACTTTTGGAATTTAGTCTACATTATATAATTGAAAAATATATTTACCTAAAATTATTTAAGCTATTAGGGATCACTTTTTTTTTTTTTTTTTTTTTTTTTTTTGTTTTTTGTTTTTGCTTTTAAAAAGCAGGTTTGTTAGATACATTTTATATTATATATTTTTTATTTTTTTAAAATCAAATTCAATTGTTCTTAAAAAACACGAAGCACTTAAAACGTGTTTTTGAGCAAAAGGATTTTGTCTTAACAAAAATAACAATTAGAATAACAAAGAAATACAAAAATTACATGAAAAACCTGAAAAGGGAAAATCACAAAAACCCTTACCCCCAATAAAAATATCCCACTTGACACTAGTGTTTCAATTTGTTACAAAAATCTTCCCGCTCCTAACTCAAAGATATATATAATATATATATATATATAACAAACAAACAAAAAATAGAAAAAAAAATGATAGGGAGAATACAATATATTGAAAATTTCTCTAAACTCCGGACAAAGTGAAAATTTGATAATGTTTGGATATTCTAAAGAGATCTAACGACATTCAATGAGCGAGTGGAAGTCAAATAATGGTTGGTTGTTGGAAAAGAAATCCGGTGGTGGTACGATCAAATTAAAATTCAACGACGATCGGTCGTCCGGAAGAAATTCGACGATGATTGGCGCTCGGGAAGAAATCCAGCGACGGTTGGTGGTGCTAGTTAGAGAATGCAAGTAACCTTACTAGCTATTCGTTCTCTTATCATTTCTTCATGTGAAGAAAGAGGGCGTATTTATAATTTTTTTGGAGTGACATGGCTTGTAAATATGCATAAGATAAGGACACATTAGGAGTGTTTCATCAAATGACAGATAGTGATTCTTTTGATCATAAAACGTTTATCAAACATTTATATGCCTTAATGAAGCCAGAATTGAGGGATCATAGACTCGTTGGATTCGTCTCGTCGAGCCGCTCGATTTGACTATAAGGATGTCATATTTGTATATCATTTAGTCTTTCAATTAATGCTTTAAAATTTTCAAGTAGACTTTGATCATTCGATTTGGGCTCATTTGGGCTTGGATTGGACTGAACTTGATGTCATCATGTTCGTCTCCTTCGGATGTTCAATTTTACAATAAGCTTGGTGAAATCAGAGTTTGAATGGTCCCAAATTTAATAAGTTTCCAATTTAGATTTGCATCGAGATTCATACCCGATCTAGACCAAGCTTTGTGACATATCAAAGCTCAAACTAACTTCATCTACAGTCCTTATTACAGCAAGCAAGATAAGATTTTCTGCAACAGCTAAATAACCTAAGCATTCAGAACAACCTAATTTCTATTCGCCATTCGCGCCGTGCATTTTAGGCCCAGATTTCTCATTTCTTAATTTCATTCGGCACATTACTCCGTACGCAACCAAACCTCGGTTCGATAATAGGTAATTTACTTAAATTGATAACTTAGGCACAACGATAAACATATCAACCATTAAATATATAATCATTAAAATATCTACAGACTCCGATCCCAAACAAAAATAATAAAAAAAACTGAATATGAACCATTGCAATAATAAAGAAAGCTATTAAACCTAACTCTTTAATAATCAATCAAACAAATTCTATATATAGACGATGCAGAAATTTGCAAGCAGCGTACGCAGCATGCAGAAACCTGAAAGTAACTACAAACTAGGTAGATTAAGATTTTGTTTGGGACGATTTTCTTACTACTTCTTAAAGCAGGCAATAAAAAAGCCGTCCCAAACAAAGCCTAAAGCATCCCTCCCGCTCCTTCCTATCCTTCAATTAATAACACTTAAATACACATATAAATAGCCATAACATAACCACAGGAAGAAGCACAAACTTAGTTAACCTCTCTGTTCTCTAGCCAAAATGAACGTTACTTGGAGCACTACCTCAGCACTAGTCATATTACTAGTCTGTGCAAGCTTTACCCTCAGCTTTGGCGTGCGATACTCCCCACTCCTTGGCCAATGTAGCCCCAGTGGCTATCTACACGGCAAAGCTAGCCACTGCAACACAGAGCATGACTCGGAATGTTGCAAGGCAGGAAAGATGTACCCTCAGTACCACTGCTCACCACCAGTCACCGATGAAACGAGTGCTACTTTGACAATCAACAGCTTCGCCAAAGGTGGAGATGGCGGCGGTCCATCGGAGTGCGACGGCGAGTATCACAGCGATGATGAGATGGTGGTGGCGCTTTCCACAGGATGGTATAATCATGGGAGCCGATGCTCGAAGAAAATTAGGATTAATGCGAATGGAAAGTCGGTGTTGGCTAAGGTTGTGGATGAATGTGACTCCGTATATGGTTGTGATGCTGATCATGATTTCCAACCTCCATGCCACAATAACATTGTGGATGCTTCTCCAGCTGTTTGGGATGCTTTGGGAATGTCTGGAGATGATGTTGGTGACTATCATATTACCTGGTCTGAGGCTTGATTTGTAACTTCGTTCATATACAAAGTGAAGAACTATAATTAAGACGTTGTGGGGTTTTGGTTTGTATCGTATGTATCTACTATTATCAATAGTGGCTTCTTCTTTCTTAGGCTTCGTTTGTGAAACTTTTTTTGCTGTTCTCTAAAACGATTTTTTAGTACAAAAATTTTTAATTCATGAAATTTTTTCACTAAAAAGCTGTTTTAGAAAGTAGCAAAAAAGCTGTCCCAAACGAAGCCTTAATCTATGTTGAATCTCCATGATTAAGATCATTTAATGGAAATTATATATAAAGTTTGGATTTGCTTTCCTGCGTAATATTCTGTTCAGTTTAGATGCATGTTTAGAGAGTGAGAAGAATGTGCAATGAAAATTAAAAGCCTGTGAAATGATTTTCATATTCCTTTATATACAATAGATATATATTAATATTTTCATATTCCATTGTTGACTTATGAGTGTTGAGTGTGAACACAATTTAATAAAAACATTCTTGCACAACTTATAACGAAATGATTTGATGTACCCTTTATTCTTTTTTTATTATTACTTTATTTTATTTGAATATTTACTAGTGCATCTCCTACTCGCTATACATATCTAAATCACATTAATTTATTTTCTACAACATTATTATTTGCAAAATAAAAAGAATAAATGACATAATAACAAAGTTGCCACATATACAATTAATATATAAAACTAAACAAATTAATTTTGTTGAACTAATCAAAGTCCAATCTACCTGAGATGGACATTCTGAAACCACATTCTCTTTAAGTTTGTGTTCTGTGTTGTAAAGGTGCTACCTCCCTTTTGCAGAAATTTTTTTTGGGCATCTAGCCATGCTGTTGTGGTGGACTTTGGCATTTAGTATCATGTAGTTGAATTTATAACTATTTAATAATAATAATAAGAAGAAGAAGAAGACAAATGAAAGCTTTCATAAAGTCATAAGTAGAGGCTACCATAAAGTCCTAAATAGATACTATCACAAAAGTCTATAATGCAAGTTATAAAAGTCTTCAATAATGGTTGATCGTTAATATAAGGCGTACTCTTCACTATATAAGCCCATGTACTCCTCACTTGGATAGCATGCCATAATAAAAATGTAACAAATAAAAGATTTGGAGAGGAAGAGAGGCGAGAAAAGTGGCATCAAAGATAGTGTGTTTTTTTTTTTTTTGTGCTTGCAATGGGAGTTGTTTGGCTAAATGAGAGGAAAAAGTGTTGCTAATTTAGGTTCTAGCAAAATAAGAAGATCTTGGTCATAGCAAAAAATAGTTCTCATTTGAATTCCTATAATTGAGGGAAATAGAGTAACTATAGCATTAACATCTCATTCTTTGAGTCTGGCTCTCAACTTCAATGCAAGTGAAGGCATTCTGTCTCAACTAGGTAAAGTGGTAAAGTCCATATTTTAATTTTGTATAAAGTGCAATCATTTTGTACTCTTTTTAAAGTTTAGGATATTATTCGATCACAATGCGTCCATGGATGTAGGTATATTTAAGTCAAAGAAAATAAATTTTGGCGTTCACTTTTGTGGTGTTTGATCACTTAAGCAATTACTTTGTGATTCATCATACTTGCCCCTGGGTTAAGGCATAGTCTCTTTCGTAATAAAATAAAATTAACATAGCATAATATGAAATATAAGCTTGAAAAAAAAAAACTAACATTTGGTGAATATTAAGATGAATTGCATAATCAATTTCACAGTTGTAAATAAAAATTTTCTAACGTGTTTAAAATTTATGCAAGGTTTTGATAGGAAATACTTGAGTTCGCAAGTAACCCTAAGGGTAATACTTGAGTTCACAAGCAAACCTATCTCCAATTGGTGAAAAACAGTGAGAATAATGTGAAATCGGGGTGAAAACAGTCCAAAACTATATATTGCGGTAGGAAAATCAAAGCCAAACAATAAGGAAAACAAGATACAAGAGATCCTCAATTCGAGAGGAGGATCGTCTCTCCCAAATCTCTAGACAAGAGTCTAGAGCCCAAGTCGCCAAGAAACCCTAATTGAGAACAAATCAAAACATAACCTCTCCCTAATCCCCTCATGCACTTTAATACAAAAGCTTTCCTAATCTGATTTCCCTTTGAAAGCTCTAGCCGCCCCCCTCTATTCAATTTGAATTCATTTGGATGGGCGGGACCCATCAATTGGGCGGAACAAGGGAGGATATATTTGCTGAGCCGGCCTGTTCTGACTGAACCGGCGTAACAGGTTTACACCTATTCTAGCTACAAAAGATTCCCCTTTAGACTATTTTGTTAACACTGCTTCTTGCATTAAACACCTTAGGCAAGAATTTATAAACAAACTAAATTAAAATTCACTAAAACTATTACTGTTCGTTCACATAAGCCTATTTATAGTATGTTTTGTCAACTTGCAATGTCATCAGCATTTTGTTTTCAGGGATTGCTTGCAAGTCATTGTTAGTAATATCCTTTGGATGGATGTAGCATTTCCTCACTGACCTCATATTAAACTTCTAGCATATTAACCTGAATTTGTAATAGAAATTGAGCAAATATTTGAATTTGAATATGAACCAATCATATATATGATTTAACAGATGAATCAAATAAACAATCTGAAAAATACAACTTTGGATGAATTCTTTACCAATATTGTTCCTATAGTTGATGAACATATTGATGTTGATTTTATTTAGCAGGTTCCCGATATATCAGTTAAAAGAAAGAAACATATCGAGAAAGTTAGGTTGCAATGATTTTTTTATAAATTTATTAATAACAAACACAATTTAAAACTTCATCTATCCAGTCAAATTTAATGTTGCATAATTTATTACAATTTCTATTTAAACTATTTGGATTAGTTTTCTTTAAAAAGCTTGTTCGTGCATATAAGCATATTATAATTGAATGGTTTGCCAACTTGTAATTTCATCAACATTTTATTTTCCAAGAATTGCTTACATGTCATTGATAGCAATCCTTAGGATGCATATTACTCTTTTAGCATTTTCTCGCTTACATCATGTTAATCGTTTAGCATGTTAACTTGAATTTCTAATAGAAAATGAATAATTCCGAATGTGAAAATGAATCAAACATATATGATGTAATTGATGAATCAAATGAACATTCTCAAAAAAAAAAAAAAAAACTTTGAATGAATTTTTTTGTCAATATTATTCCTATGATGGATGATCAGATTGATGTTGACTTTGTTTTAGGTTCTTGGTTTTTGATATATCAAAGAAAGATTCTTATGGAGAAAACTATATTGCAATAATATTTTCATAAATCTATGATAGTAAATACCTTAAACAAATACAAATTTTGAAATTCCATATATCTACGCTACAAGGAATAAGGGTTTTTTGCAATGTTTTTTTTTTTTTTTTTTTTAACCAAAACAAAAAATTCCATTAAGAGAGAAACATAAAGCACAAGACCTCAAAAAGGGCCACATCAATAGAATTACAATTAATGATAAAAAAAAAAATAGGAGCAGCAAAGCAAACTGAGAATAGGAAAGACAAAATCGGAAGAATATCAAACTCAGAATGCTGCCAAGGAGGGGGTTGCAATGGTTATATTGAGGCTTAGCAGCGGTTTAAACTATTACAAAAATGCTTATAATATTTTTTAAACCGCTGCAAGATATAGTAGTGGTAAAAATCATTGCAATTGTAGAAGCTTATAGCAATTTAAACTGCTGCAATACTGAAGGTGAAATTAATTGCAATGGTTATAACCATTGCAATGCTGTAGGTAATTGGCTTTCTAGCAGTTATAATTGCTGCAAACTTAAAACAAATGGTCTATGCAACTTTTTAAACAACTACAATCCTTCTTTATCTGAATGATACAATATTTATAACTACTACAATTCTTCAATATTCCAGATTTTTGCAATCATATATGTTTATTTTAACGTTTGCATGGTAAATTGCAATATAACAACATTTATTAGAAATATTGATGCAATGGAATATTGGAATTTACTATTATAACCACAAGAGATATTAACTAGAAATGTTGAATTGAATATGCAAGTGAGCAATTTGAATGTCTTTAAAATACAGTAATTTGGACTCACATAGGAAAATTATTAATAAACAAAATATTTTTTATAAACTGCTCACCCAAATGGTCTACATCCATGCCTATGCTCTCCACCAAGTTTGGATTACCACTACTTTGGTCTTGCCGCCACAAACCCAACTCTACTCTTGCCGCATGCGAAAAAACTTATACAACATAACACACTCTCATTTGAGGCAAGTGCAACTTAATCACCTAAACTTCATGGGCTAGGCTTAGGGCTGCAAGCGAACCAAGCGTTCGACGAGCTACTCGATGCTCGGTTCGATTAAAGCTCGTTTGTGATCGTTTAACTAACTAAACAAACAAACTTAAACAACATTTGAAATACTCGATCCTTAAATAAACAAGCTTGAACACTAATGTGTTCGGTTCATTTATGTTCACGAACAACATCATTTGAAGTTCGTGAACAAGCTCGACATTAAGTTCGATAAAAAGCTCGATAAAAGCTCGAATGAAGAGAAATGCAATAGGTAAGCTTCATTTAAGAATATATTCATATAGATTAATCATATTTTATTTTAAATAGATAACTGCTTTTATTATAAATTTAATTTTTTAAACAAAAGACAATTCACATTTGTCTATGTTTGTTAGATTGTTTGTTTAAGATGTTCATGAATAAATTTAATGTTTGTTTGTTCAATATATTATTTGTTAAATATGTTCATGAACATAGCTCGTTAAGGCTTGTTTGCTTAAAGCTCAATAAGCATTAAATGAATCAAACATGAACACCCTTAAATTAAACGAACCAAACATGAACACAAACAATAAAGCTCGAATCAAACATGAACCGAACTTGAACAAGCTAATGATAAACGAACTCAAACATGAACACCACATACTCGGCTCGGCTCGGTTCGTTTGCAGCCCTAGCTAGGCTAACCATTCTCTTGAAATAGAAAACATTTATAAACCAAAATTCACTTGAACTTTGGAGAAGATTAAAATGATATCACCTACAATTAAAATACAATCAATCACTAATATATGGTGGTGCAAATATACCTAAAAAATGGATCTTCCGACATGGCGGCGAAGTCATGGCGGCAAAAGACAAGGCGGTGGAGCCTTGACAGTGGGGAGCACTGTAGTATCAACGACATTAGCAGGGATTTGCATGGGATTGAGGCACACAGAGAGACTTTGTGATGAAGATAAAAATAGAATAAATAATGGAGACGCTAGGGCATGGCTCGATAAAATGAGAAGGCGTTGACAACAATTAACACTGTTGTTAATAAATCCTTTTTAGCAATGGTAATAACCACTTCTAAAGAATTTTTTTTTTTAATTACTACAGACATTTAAACTGCTTCTACATGATCTTTTTTGCATGTAGTTTAAAACCGCCACTATAAAGAGCTCTAAAAATTGTTGAATTATGGTTGTACTAATTAAAGGTTCACAATTTAACACATTTTACAATTAAACAATTTGGATTAGTTTTCCTAACAAAAATTATCTGTCATATAGGCATATTATAATTGTATGATCTATCAACTTACAAATTAATTCATTTGCAATTTATTTTCTAGGAATTGTGTATATGTCATTGTTAGCAATCTTTAGGATGTATCTTAATCTCTTAGAATTTGTTGACTTATCTCATATCATTCACATAATAATTTGCATAATATATAAATGACTTGCAAGAGTATTTTATAGAAAATTGACTACTAATTACGATAATTACAAACTTTTTATTGATGTATCAATTATGTTTAAATTATAGTGTCGCCTAATTCTATTTAAAGAAGGTGAATGGTTGAAGTAACTGATTATTGATGATCTGTGAATCCTCTATTTTGCTCTTTGCATGAAAGCATTTTATGCATAATATTAGTATCATTAGGAAACTTAACCCTAAGTAGTATTATGTCGCATGTTGCATTTGCTCTACCTTTATTTATTTTTAGTTTTATCTTTTTCAAGCAATGCTTATTAATCATTTTCATAGGAGATATATATTATTAAATCCTCTCATTTTTCTCAATTATTTTCTCTGTTATCCTGGCTATTTTTTGATAGAATCTGGTTATTATATTTGGTTCTTATCAAGATATGTTGACTAGCCTCAATTTAGCTATTGTTTGATAGCATCTGATTTATTGAAAATTTGAATTTAATTAGTATTAGACACATAATAATAATCATATGTAGTTAAATAATAACCAGATGTTTCTAAGAAATAGCCAAATAAATAGAGAGAGGCACCTAGTGAGGCTAGGTGGAGGGAGGGTTGGAAAGAGCTGCTAGTGACTAGGACTCATGGCATTCATGTGGAGAGGAAAAAGAAGTATCTGATATTTAAAATAGTTACTTGATAAAATTTAAAAATAAAAACTCTATAGAACTTAAAAAGAATACAAATTAGTAAAAGACCATAAATTGAATGAATGTGCTGGAGGACCTTGTATAAATCTTCCCTTTTCTTTAGGGAGACGACCCTTCGGAGTAAAGCATTTTCACAAAAAGCTGAATAGACAAAAATCGGATAATTAGGAAATATGCTGCATTTGCCAATGTTTATAGCTATTGCTTTTCTAGCGTTTCTGATTAGCTAATAAATAGTTTAAAGTGGAACTTTTTATGATAAAGACATTTTTAGCCTTCAATGTTAAACTGATGGCTATGAACTTCTGCATTTTCTAGATCACATGGAAAACTAAAGGGTAATTTGAGCATAAGTAAGAATGGATGTCTAAAATGCTTTCACATACAGTAAACAGTTTAATGAATAAACCCTTGCGGTCAAACCAGAAGCAACTATGCCAGCAGCAGTAATCTATGTCGTAATATGTATCATGTATTTGGTGAAGAAAGATAAGCAATTTAAAGCTTAATTGCTATAAGATAATCATACAAGATTTATTAATTAAAAGCAGACCCATACATTTTTAAAATGCATTCAACAAAATAGGTATTGAACCCATTGGGTTAGCTGCAATTAGATAGCATTGAGAAGTAAAGAATCAAACTTTGACAAAGACACGACGACTGTAGAGAAAATAAAAGGAAAAAAAATGAGCCACGACAAACATATTCATGTATGGCATCATTCATTCTAATTGAATCATAAAGCATAGTTACATACTTTCCAAACGATGAATTTAAAGGAATAAAAAGAATCAATAATGGGTTTCTCTACAAAGAACCAACAGCTACAATATCCACCCAACATTTAGAAAATAAAGAATCCCTACCAGTCCTTAGCACACAAATCGGTAATGGAACAAGAAAAGGAAGAAAAAGAAAACTACGCAGTTGCAAATAAATGTCTTCTCAAAAGGAGCAAAAATAATTTACCCATCAATAATCGCCTTTCTTCTCCTTCTCGCACTCTTCCAACTCCTTCAGCCACAAATCAGCAAACTCACAATCCTTGTACCTCTCAAACCAAGGCCCGCCCAATGTATAATGAATCGCCTTCGGAAACGTAGTGGGATCATTCTCCACCACCCGATTATGCCCCACAAGAAAATTCCAAACAAAAGGCACAGATCCAATCTCCTCATCATCAAGCCACCTGAAACGGTGAAGAAACGCCCCTGTTTCCGAGCTCACGAGCTCCGGCGTCAGTATCCGATTCTTGGGATGACCACAATTGTAAAGAACCATAGAAGACCAGTTCTTCCGCGGGTACACAGTCTGAACGGCGCCGTCCATCTTAGTAGTCTCTTTAGGAACGTACTCATGGTGTACACACATGACGGCGAAGCGATCGTCAATGAGAGCGACGAGATCGGCCACATCGGCGGTGTATAGGAAGTCACAGTCGACAAACATGGCCCATCCCTGGAAGCCGGCCAGGTAAGGGGTGAGGAATCGGGTGAATGAGAACTCGGTGCTTTCGGTGGTGTCGCGTTTGCGGGAATATAGATTAGAAGACCGGAGATCGGATTGTTTGATGGGTGAGATGTGGAGAGGAATGGAGGAGTGCTTGAGGAGAGAGTGGCGACAGACATTGTAGGCGGCGTCCTCGCGGGGGTCGTAGCCGATGAAAATCATGAATGGAGGAAGAGTCGTGCCGGGTAGATGATTGGAAGAGGCCATTGAGATTGGGATGAGGAAGGGGGAGAAATATGGGGAACTAGGGGGTGAGATAAAGAGAGCTGGAGAATGGGAGGCGCGAGGTGGTGATCGGAGAAATACGATTTGTGAGCCGAGTAGTATTACCGATGGTGGGAAATCTGTGTACCGCCCCGGTTTACGAGAGACGCGAAGGAACAACCAAGGCTTCTTTTGCGGTAGACCGGCAGTTTTGGCCGCTGCTCTGTTTTTAATTTTTCCTGATTTCAATATATATATAAATTAATTTATTAGAGTTTTTTTTTGGAATAATTTATTAGAGTCACTAATTTCACTTTGTATCAATTAAACCGATGAAAGCACTAATATTTCAAATTATTTATCAATATATAAATCACCATTCAAAAATCGTACACAATAAAGAGAACTTTAATCTATAACATTCATCTATCACTAAACACTTCTGATTATAAAAGAATAACACAAAATATAAGAAAATAAATTGAACAAGAAATCTGACAATGATCAATCTCACTTAGCTCGTCCCCTTCCTGAACTTGAAAAATAGTCAAATTCACATAATAAGAACATAGCTCAACAAACAACCAAAATTCATCGTTGCATTCAATGTAAGATCTCAAGTGTCAATATATATGCTTAACTCATTCAATATATAAATAGTGATCATTTGTATAAAATCAACGATCCATATCAATATATTAAGAAGTCAATATGATCAGTAAAACATAAGCATCTCAATGAGCATATGAATCCATAAAAAATTCAATAAAAGTCTATAAAGAAATGTCAGGTATCATGCAATAAATCATATGTCAATTATTTATCAATTATATTCATGGCAATGATTCAATCATATGTCCGTATTAATGATGTTGCATATTTATCTATCTTGTCTATTAGTATGTCATACCAATGTCCTATATCAACATGTGTATCAATGTATCAATGTCTATAAGTGCATCGGTCACATGCCACACTATGTTGTATCAGTTTCAATGTTAGCTTAATCAGTTATATATATCAATTAGTGAATGCAATTATGAATAGCAAAGCATTATATCTAGCTTTAATATGATGTTTTCATTCGTTCATCTATCATCCATGAGTTCTCAATTATTCTTTATATCATTATATTATCATCATTACATATGTAATTCAATAATCTATAAAGAGTAGCATCCTTTGCTCATCAACGTAATTCAGTCAATTAATTACAAGCTAACATCCAGGATTACACCACAACCTTTTTTGTTATAAGGAAAGCCCGTCAACTCACCATCTTATGTATGATATTATATTTTAAGAGTCAACTCATTTTAATTATAATAGTAACAGGTAGCTAGCATTCCTTGCTTACATAAAAATGTCACGTTTATCTCATATCAATCATATCATTTTTCTATGAATTGTGAGTCAATATGAGATATGAAATGCATTAATCTAAGAAATATAAGAAATCTAAAAACTATTCATTTACTTCATAAAATTATAACTAACAATTTACCTAGAGTAATTTAATAATATTAAAGTCAAAATACTCGTAAAATTTATATCTATCATATACAAAATATTGCATGATAAAAGTGCGGTAAATCAAGAGAAAAATATTATTTTATTGAATTGGGGAATATTAAATTCATCAAATTCAAAATCATTGAAAATCATAGTAAAGTTCGGGTTACCTACCATGAATAGAAGAAATCTCTGAACATAATAGTTGATAAAAATGCTTTGAACCCCTTTTCTCTCTCCTCCCTGTCTCTTCCTTCTCCTCCTCTCTTCGTTTCCTGCTATGAAAAGCCTAATGGCTAGGTGGCATAATGGATGAGTGGTGGTGAAAAATATTTATTAAAACATTTTTCACTACTTGGCACCGCCGCACACCAAGCCAATGTTGTAGAACTGCATGCTGATTTTATAGTTACTATAGAACAGAGAGCGTCATCACCAACACGTTAAATTATGGTGCCCAATGTTACACCCACCAATGCCGTGGCGCTCACAAGCATAACGCCACAACACTCCAATTCAGAATTTCCAAATTTTAAGATTTTTATTTTAAAATTATTTTCAAAATTTTTAAGTTGTCACTCAAAAGATCTTCAATTATAGCATCCTTATAATCAAAATTGAGTTGCTCGATAAGAGGAATCTAACGAGTCCAAGATCCCTAAATTTTAACATTATTAAGATAGTCAAATATTTGATAAATAATCTATAATCAAGGAGATCAATATGGTTCATATAATGAACTGCTTTGTATTAATTATAGCCAAATGTATCAAATGTCCATCTTAAAAACAATATAAACAAGGCTCTATTCTCTATAGCGAGGTGAGGTTGAAGAGTTAAGAGAACTAAAGGGCTCTCTTATATTTTCCGGCTATCACCGGTGACGTCCGCCACAATCAATTGTTGTCATTGTCTCTAGACTCTTGTCAAGACCTAACTCTATTATTGGGTTTTTAACTATTTGCATATGAACAATTATTAAATTTCTAAGAGTAAAATTAAAAAAAATAAAAAATTTATGATGTAACTACTCTCATCTTATTCAATATGAGGAAGGGAGGATACATATAATAGATTATTGCATGATTTTTTTCTTTCTGTATTTTCACATAAAATGATTCTGGTCTCATGAATTTTTTTTTTTTTTTTTGTGCTATATTTTTGCCAATAGCACATAACTATATTTTAATTATTTTTATCGAGCCTATTCATGAGTTCAAATCAAACACGAATCGAGCTTCTTATCGAGCTAAATGTCGAGCTTGTTCACGAACTTTAAATGATGTTGTTCGCGAACATAAATGAACCGAACGCATTAGTGTTCAAGTTTGTTTATTTAAGAAGCGAGTATTTAAAATATTGTTCAAGTTTGTTTGTTTAGTTAATTAAACGATCACAAACGAACTTTAATCGAACCGAACAGCGAGTAGCTCGTCGAACATTTGGTACGCTTGCAGCCCTAATCATTTATATATCTATAACTTACCTTTCTATCATACATAAATGCATTCAGATGTAAAGATTTTGTACTATAAATTTGAAAGTTTGTGTTAGTTTTTGGATTCATGTTCAGTTCAAGATTGAACTGAATGAATGTTTAGTCCCAAATTCTTTTTGATTGCCATTAGAAAACAATCTAAGTTGCTTCGATATCAAACAATAAAAGCCTCCCCACAAAACAAAGCAAAAATGTTCTCTCTGACAATGCCACAATAAGTTATCTCCAAACTCCGAAGAGACGAACCATAATTTTATAATATTATATAATAGTTAAAACTATCTGTTAAAGTGACCCAAGCTTTTTTCCCATTATAAGATTTCAGTCATCCATTAGGTGAAACCTTGACATCAGAGCCGTTGCCTTCCCTCCCTTCCCATCTTAAACGGAATACTAGTGAAGTGAAAGTCAAGAAACGAAGCACCATCATCTCATTATCATCTTAAGCAAAATCCACAAGAGACTTAACAAACTTCCCACTTCACCATCTCACTTCCTCTCTTCCTCCCTTATTAATCCAACAACATTCAGCAAATTACAGGGCATTGATGAGTCCAAGTTAGTATATTCATTAAAAATGTCTCTCTTCGATGTAATGGAGATGGAGAGGGAGGTTGGAGATGATTCTGACGCTCTCATGGCGAGAGCAGAGATCGACACGAGCGCCCCTTTTCGGTCGGTGAAAGAGGCAGTTATGCTGTTTGGGGAGAAGGTCTTGGCAGGGGAGATTGCAAATAAGCTCAATGAAGTAGGCTTTCAGCCTTTTCTTCTCTATCTTTTTCCCATGTTTTTTTGTTCATGATTAATTTTGCCAGGAATTCAATGCCGTTATTCTATAGAAAGTGCTGCATGTATCAGAAACATAAGAAGGAAAAAATTTTTGCCATGAATTTAATGCCATTCTTCTATAGAAAGTGCTGCATGTATCAGAAACATAAGAAGGAAAAAAATTCTCCATTTCTTCTTCAAGTTGTCATAGCAAATGGCTTGTACATCATATCTTCTCTTTTTTCATGATCCAAGAGAGCTACTGATGGTAACTTGCTTTGTTAAATCTAAAGATTGTCTCTTTTTCTTTTAATGAGATTAATATTACACTTTCATTAGTTTGTGTTTTTAGGTCCTGAAGAATTCTGAATTCTTTCAATGAATCCTCCTTTTCTTGGTTGCTTAGCATAACTTCTACTCAAAGTATCTGTGGTCTACCTTTTCAATCTCCTTCCAAAACCTTCAATATTACTTGTGTTTATCGTTTTATTGCTTCTGATTCGAGGGGCAGAATCAGTCATAATTTTCAGGGGGCAAATTTATAAGTAACTATTGCCATATATGTTGGGGGTCTCAAGGAGCAGTGCTCTTGCGGGGATGGTTCCGCCCTTTCTAACATTATTTGTCACATACCTAAATAGCCTATGCCTATTTAGTATTTAACAATAAATCTTTTAAATAGATAACAATTTTTTTTCTTCTTTCTGCCGTTCTCTTATATCTATTTTTTTCTGATTTTGCTGCACATTTTTCTCAACATTTTCATATCTATTAGCTTGATTGTAGATTTATAAAGCGTCAAGGAATCACATTGACCTTTCTGTGAAACCAGATAAAAGCGAGAGCAAATATAAATGAGCAAAGTGCTTCTCGGTTTGGCTCCCTAGTTGCAGAGCTAGAAGAAACAAAGCAAAACCTTGAGAAAGCACAAGAAGAAAGACTAGAAATGGAAAACTACCTCACCTCTCTCAAGCAAGAGCTAGATAAAACCAAGACAGAGCTCAAACAACTAAAAGCTAGAGATTTGGAGAAGCCGGCCATAGATTCAGAGACTGAAGACATCAAATTTGTAGAAAACACTACAGATATTGATGAGATTGAGATGCCGGTCGTCAACAAGGATCTAACAGTTCAAAGAAAGAAGTTTGTCAAATTTGCCAACCCACCTTCTCTGGCTCGAGTCATGTGCACTGAGGAGCATGTTTTGGATAGGCAATTCTCTGTGGACAGGGAAACCTCACAGACGAGAAACATGCAAAAGAAGAAGAAGAAGTCCCTTCTGCCTATCATTGTATCTGTGTTTTTGAAGAAGAAGAGCTACCAAGGTGAAGCTTCAGTTCAAGCCCATGGGATGCAGAGAGTAGGATAAACGTTTGCTGCAAACAGATTATGCAGGAACATTGTTGCTTTACAATTGATTTTGAAGTCATGGCTTGGGTTACTTTTCAAGAGCTTCTAGTATACATATTGTATTGAAATAAGGATAAAAATACCATTTGTTTCTTCGGTACGTAAATAATTGCATTTGAGGAAGTTGGGTTTCTAGCTTGCGTGATTATTTATATGGTACAGAAAATAAACATGTTTAGGCATGAATTTTTATGTATTTTTTTGGAAAAGAGAATCACTCAAAGTTGAATTCAAAATTTCTAATAAGTTGTTTTAGTAGTAGTCTGTTCAGACTTTTATTTTAGTAATTTTATAATTGTATGATGCTTAAGAGAGAGAGAGAGAGAGGGGTAATTTTTATTAGGTCTGGTGTCCTGACGTAGCTCTACATTCGGATGCCAGTAAAATGGTGTCACGTGCTCTTATTCTTTACCACGCGACCCGACGACCCGACCCGGACCGGACCCGGGATTGTTATGTATGGACTGATTTGTGCAGACTGGGGTATTGCTCGATATTGCTCGACAATAACAAGAAATATCATTTTGTGAAGACCAATACCTAGCAATACCGAGCAATACTGAGCGATATCCCGGTTTTACTAGGTATTGCTAGGTATTGCTCGGTATTGGTCTTCACATAGCAGTATTTTTCGTTATTGTCAAGCAATACCTAGCAATACGTAGCAATACCTAACAATACCGAGCAATACCTAGCAATACGCGAACATAGCAACCCCGGGTTTCGGTCCAGGTTGGATCGTCGAGCCGCGCAGTAAAAAGTAAGAGCACGTGGCGACTTTTTATTGGCGTCCGAATGTAGAGCTACATCAGGACACCAGAACTAATAAAAATTCGTTGAAGAGGTGGTGTATATAAGTCATATCAAAATGTATGCAAAACTTATAGAGATGGGCTCATAATAAAAAGAATAATATTGCACAAGGAAAGAAATTTTATATGAAGGCAACTAAAATTGTTCGATATTTTCCCTTGATTCCTAGACTACAAAGATTGTTGAAAACCCAAAAATCTTATTTATATATATTAGGACACACACAAAGAAAGTAATGCACTAATTTATGATAAACTTAAGCTTTTTCTACTAGGTTATTTTTATCTAATGTCAAAATGAAACTTATCTTATTGATCAAGATGTGTCCAAAAACTTGGATATTCGGTTAGTTCTTTGAGGAGTCTAATTTTGTCGGTTAATCAAGTTGTATTGTTAATTTGGATCTCAATTTTATTATACAACACTAAGGCGTCGGGACCCCACTAAGTACTTTTTTTTCTGCATTTCTTCATAAAACTTTTTAAATTTCTGTTATAACCGTATGAAAGTTATGCTTTGATATATAAAAGGGTGTGAAGGTTATAAGAGAAACTAGAGTGAAAGATCTATAAATCTTGATATGACGTTGCTTCAGGTCAACCCACCGAGGCTTAGGTTGGTTGGTGGGCGAGTACGATTGGGAACCCCCATCTCAGGTTTGAATCATCTCTACTACTGCCTCGTCTCTTCAATGGGGCAAAGTAAGTGTGCATCCAATGCTGGTGGGTGGTTTGGCTATGTTCCGTTGAGGGATTAGTTATGCCGCCAAGCGTCTTTGGAGTGGCAGAGGCAGATACTCTTGTTCCCATTCAAGGAAAAAAAGTTATGCAAACTATCAAATATGAAAGATAACATTAATTTTTTTTTCATATTTGCACGTATATTAATTGCATCTAATCATTCTCATTTAAGGAAATGTTTGAGATAACTTTCTTACTATTTTTTAAACTTATTTTAAAAAAAAAAATCTTAAAAATTTCTAAAAAAATAGTGATCAAGAGATATTCCAAATGTAACCTAAGGCAAATAGACAAATATTATTGAACTTAAAATTAGTTTTTATAAAATAATAATAATAATAATAATTTTCTTTACTCAACCACTTTCATTAAATTTATGCCCAAAAGTCTTCATTCCATAAAAGAAGGAATTTGTTGTCTCTCTTGATTTCATAGTCCTATTTAATTGATAAGGATTGGCATTTTTTTTTCCTTCAAAAAAGTTTGAGTAATGAAGTACAATTTTGATATAAAAAATATTCAAAATTTTTAATTAGATTAGCTCACATTAATGAAGGAGTTTGCAAGTACATGTTTTGAAGTTTTTCTAAGATAACTGCATATATTTGTAAAAATTATTATAGAATTATTTTTTAATTATTTTTTTTTTTCAAAAAAATAGAATGTAATCTTTTTAGAATGATCATATTTAACATATCTAACTTTAAAAAATAATTCTCCTTACAGATAAAAATAAATTAACATACATAGCATAAAATTATTATATTTTATTTGGACCTAATTTTTTATTTTTTTAATATGACACTTTAATATTTATATTACATTAAAATGTTATTAGTATTAATTTATTTAAATTCAATATCATAAATTTTGATATGAACACAAATCCTATTATATATATTCAATATATAAATTTCCCTTAAAACAAATAGCTAAACGGATCATCAAGCCGTTAAATTCTGTCACATGTCACTTTCCATTGCAAACCTCTATATAAAAAAAAAAACACTAAATGTTGCTTTGTTTTGGATGGCTTTTTTTACCGCTTCTTAAATTAGTATTTTTGAAAGCTACTTATCAAAACAAATTTTATATTCATTAAAATTATTTTAAGATAAATAAAATAAAAATTATCAATTAAATTTTACATTATACTTGTCCTAAAATAATTCCAATGCTACTGAGATTTCGTTTGGGACTATTTTTTTGTTGCTTCTTAAAGCAGTCTTTTTAGTATAAAAAAAAAATATGGCTTCCTTTAAATCTGCAACAAGAAGTTTAATTTGTAGCTTAAGAAAATAGCTTCACTTATAAAGTGGTTTTCCTGTAATTAATTATTAATGCACTAATAGAAGCCTATTATTTTCATAATTGCTTCATTCCTCGTTATGACTTACCTAAATTTTCCCTTATGTTGTCAACAATTTGAGAATTGTTAGGTTACAATCATTACTAATTAACAAAACAAAATTTTGTTTCATTAGTCTAATGAATAAAAATTAATTATTGCCCGGTCAAGGACGTACAGCTTTTCCTTAAAACAAGTAAGAGAAGAGATAATTAACTTGTAGTTTTAGCTATTGCATGATTGGAAGCATAGAAAAAATCATTTGTTATTTAAATGTTAAGAGCTGATCTTTTGTAGCAGTAGAAACTCTGCTAAGCTGAAAATGGAGATTATAATCTTTGCTTTTTGGCATAGATGTAATCACTGCAAAACATGCAACAATTGTTAATCTAAATTAGAATGGTTAAAACTGCTATAAGATTTATTATAATCTCCCAAGGGAAAGTCATTCTAGAAACTTCTCATAAATAGAGACTTCAACACAAAAGCGCTTCTCAATGCAAAGAATGCAGTGCCGCATAGCTCTCTGGGGATTCAAATTTTGTTCTGCAGACTGAGAGTTTAGTATCATGGCGCTCCCAGAGAAAAATTCCAACCACCAATTGTTCCAATTTGATCAATTTTTATAAGAAAAAAATACTTAAATAAACCTTTTTTTTTTTTTTTGAAGAAAACCCACGAGAGGGCCTATGTGTTTTTGGAGGTGGGACGACATTGATATCATCCTGGAAGAGTTCTGGCAATAGTTGGAGAACGAACGGAAGTCTAGCGATTGCTGTTTGTCGGGAAGAGATCTAGTGGTAGCCAATGAAAGGGAGGAAGTTCAACGACGGTCGGTGATTGGGAACAGATTTGGAGGTGGCCGACGAATGGGCGAAAATCCAGTGACGGTCGAGAAGAAATCTGGCGGTTGTAGACGAATTGGAGGAAGTTTGGCAATTCGGCAAGAGAACTCCACAAGTTATTTCCTTCTTCTCTTTTTCTCTTCAACATTTTTTCGCCTCCCTCTTCATGTGAAGAATGTGGGGCTATTTATAATTTTTTAGGAGTGACATGACTAGTAAATATACAGAAGATCAAGAGCATTTTGGGAGTGTTCCATCAAACGGCTTATATTGATCGCATTGATCATAGAGAGTTTATCGAGCATTTAGAAGCCGTAGAGATGTCAGAATTGAGTGATCTTGGGCTCGCTGGATTTATCTCATCGAGCCGCTCGATTTGACTATAAACATATCATATTCATATATCATTTGATAGTGCAATTAATGCTGTGACGCTTCAAAATAGATTTTAGATCTCTGATTTGGAAAAATTTGACATTGTTAGGTTCGTCTCATCGAGATGTTCAATTTGACTATAAGCTTGGTGAAATTGAAGATCAGATCCAATTTTAATTTTTGAAATCTCAATCACATATTTTCATCAAAATTTGTGTCTGAGCAAGATAAATATTTGATTACATATCAATTCTAATTTTATTTGAATTTTCTTAAACACTGCCACATGAAGGAGAAACTATTTTAATCAAAATAAAATTTTGAGGATATTTCTTTAATATCAAGATTCAATCATCTCGAGATGTATAAAGTCAAAATTTCTTTGAAAAAAAAAAATATTTTCATTCTATCATAGATTGAAAGGCACAGAGATCTTCACATATATATTTTCCTACATGTGAGAGAAATTTTCCTATGGCTGTCCCTAAGCAAGAAATTTTGGTTCCATGTCGGCATCAGCTTCTTGAATTCCACAAACTCTCCCACCTCCCTTCATAAATCGCAACAAATCCCAAAACAGCCTCAAAACATGCCATATGGGATAAGCTTCTACCGAAAATTTTATTGAACTACATGTGCAAAATATTTTAAATTAAAATTTGCGTAGAAAATAACCTTTTTAATAATAAAATAGTTTTTTTCTTCTAAAAGATGTTTTTAATGACTTAAAAGGTAATATTTATAATTATTTTAATTATAATCATATAAATTAAATAGCAAAATATACTTGAAATTCTATATTATTTGAGTGTCTAAATAGAAGTATTTTCCTTAAAAAAAATTTGTAATATCATTTAAGCGATGTCGTCTGCTCTGCTAGGGTTACGTCGCCTCTTCTGTTCCTTTGCTTGTAAGAAATTT